AAGCTGCAAGAGTTCAGAAAACACTCAAAATATTTACCTGGGAAATGTGCGCTCTCTTCATTTGGACTTAAAGTGGATTTCTATTAATAATGCATCATCATGAAGATGACTACATGGTTCTATTGTGAATACTGAAACTGGATATACAGTGGTACCTCGGCTCACAAATGCCTCAGTTCACAACCAAATCGGGTCACGAACAAAAATTTCATAAATTTCACTCTGGTTGCAAATTCTGCGTTGGGTGACAACCGCAATCGCGGCCATCTCCCCACCCCCCTCTGAGTGGGGAGATGGCCGTGATCGTGCTGGGGACGGGGGAGGAGATGGCCGAGATCGTGTCCGTCTTTCTTGCAGGAGGGCGCCCGTGATTGCGTCCATCTTTCCTGCAGGAGCACAACCGTGATCTCAGCCACTCCCCCAGCATGATCGTGCCCATCTCCCCTCCCCAGCACGCCCCGTTCACATCCATCTCTCCCTCCCCCAGTGCACCCACACTCACGCCTGTCTCCTCCCCCACCCCAGTGCACCTGGATGACGGGCGTGTGCAGGGATGATGGGCGCGATCGTGGTTGTGCTGGGGAGGGGCAGGGAGATAGCCGTGCTCATGCTCAGGGTGGGGAGTGGAGATGGCCATGATCTTTGTTGTTCTTTGCCACTTTGCTTCACATTTTTCTGATTAAAAAAAATAGTTACAGAATGTATTAACCTTATTTATATTGAACCTTATGGGGAAATTAACTTGGCTCACAACCAGTCTGGGTCATGACCAGAGTCCTGGAACGGATTTAATTCATGAGTCAAGGTACCACTGTACTGGCATTCACTATACTGCATCTTGAGAGTGCAGTTTTCCCTCGTCTTACCAGCTTTGTGTCCTGCTGAGTCCCCAAAGATTCACACCTATTTTTATCTTATCTTCAGATAAATTTCCTTTGTTTTGTTAAAGTGTAGGCCCTTAGATCAGTTGAAATTTGCACACAGACATAAATGTTAACTTCCTTCAGGTAGGTTTTTTTATTGTTCCAAGTTGATAGGAAGCAGTGTAGATAGAGTCACACTGATCTGTGTTTCCTTGGCTATCAGGCATGGCTGTTAAACTGGGTTTACTTGACTGTGATGGACCCAACATTATGCTACTCATGTCATCAACACTGAAGCAGGATTGTGCAAACAAACAAAATAAAATTATATTTGTAGCATACCATGGAAAAGTTACATTCTATTTAAAATAGGAGAAAATATAAACTCTGCAATAGTATAGAGTGTTTATTTTTTCTATCAATTATGTATATTAGATCTGTGAAGGTGTTTACTGAAACTGATTGGCAGCAAATTGATGTAACGCAAAACAAAGTACTTCTTCACAAAATGCATAATTAATTATGGAAATCATTACCACAAAATTTGGTTATGATCATAAGCTCCAAGGACTTTAGAAATAGACCACAGAAATTAATGCAAGTATAACCTGATGGTGGTTGATACCAATAATTAAACAATACACTAAGTTATATTGTGCTTCTCTGATTAACAGATTTTATGGAGTCAAACAGTTCTGAAAGCTGCTATGCTTGGCTTGTGAACCTATTATACCTTGTGCTGCAAAGAAACTGCACAAAGGTGAACAAATTTATAGCTTTAAAACAAAGCAAATTTTGTTGGCATGATCATTTGTGGGGGAGTGAATTCAATGGCATAAAATATGCTAATCTGAAAGAAAATATGAAAGTGGCAAAAAATTCTGTACAGTTTTCTTATGTTGGCATGCATTTTTGTACCAAAAGGAATCACTATCAGAAAAGGACCCAATTTGTGATGATTATATGTTACTTACGTTTACTTGCAGGTATCTTTGTAGCATGCCTATAGAGGTATTCTAGCATTTGGTTGAGGGGCTGACCAAATTTGTTTGTGGGGCACTACATGCTCCCTCAAGCAATTTCATGAATGTATACCCATGAGTACTAAATCTCTAAGCATGGTTTATGTCAGGAGTGTTCAAATATTCTAAATGGATTATTGTGTTTCAGCATTTTGCATCTGAAACTCTTTCTATTTTAAAATGTGTTTCTTTTTTCAGCTACCATGTTCCTTGAAAACTGGAAACGTTTGCAGATGAGGCTGAGTTACTTCTGGGACCTAACTGGTTTGGAGGAGGAAGAAGTAAGTTTTATTGAAACATTTACAGTTCCTGTGATTTGCTAAAGACAATAATTTGTTTGGCAGAAAAGGCAAGTTGCTTAAACCTAATCAGTTTAGTTAATTTTAAGTGTATTATAGGAACTCTGTTTAAATAGCATTTGGAGATGGTTTTTCTTTGCTTATTGGAAAACCTGTGATTGGGCAACAGTAATCATAGGTGGACACAATTGTCCCATTTTTTTGTATATGATAAATCACTATCCTTTTTAGTTCATATTTTATGTTTTTGTTGGTGTTGTTAGTCGCGAAGTCATGTCCGACCCATCACGACCCCATGGACAACATTCCTCCAGGCCTTCCTGTCCTCCACCATCCCCCCGAGTCCACTTAAGCTCACACCAACTGCTTCAGTGACTCCATCTAGCCACCTCATTCTCTGCTGCCCGCTTCTTTTTTTGCCATCAATTGTTCCCAGCATTAGGCTCTTCTCCAGGGAGTCCTTCCTTCTCATTAGGGGGCCAAAGTATTTGAGTTTCATCTTCAGCATCTGGCCTTCTAAAGAGCAGTCAGGGTTGATCTCCTCTAGGACTGACCGGTTTGATCGTCTTGCGGTCCAAGGGACTCGCAGGAGTCTCCTCTTGCACCACAATTCAAAGGCCTCAATTCTTCAGTGCTCAGCCTTCCTTATGGTCCAGCTTTCACAGCCATACATTGCAACTGGGAAAACTATAGCCTTGACTATACACACTTTTGTTGGCAGGGTGATGTCTCTACTTTTTAGTATGCTATCTAGATTTGCCATAGCTTTCCTCCCCAGGAGCAAGTGTCTTTTAATTTCTTGGCTGCAGTCCACATCTGCAGTGATCTTGGAGCCCAGGAAAAGAAAATCTGTCACTACCTCCATTTCTTCCCCATCTATTTGCCAGGAGGTGAGAGGACTGGATGCCATGATCTTAGTTTTCTTAATGTAGAATTTCAGGCCTACTTTTGCACTCTCCTCCTTCACCCTCCTCAAGAGGCTCTTTAGTTCCTCTTCACTTTCTGCCATTAGAGTGGTATCATCTGCATATCTGAGGTTGTTGATATTTCTCCCAGCAATCTTAATTCCAGCTGGTAATTCATCTAGCCCCAACTTTCTCATGATGTGCTCTGCATATAAGTTAAATAGGCAGGGCGACAGTATGCAGCCTTGCTGAGCTATTCAATTTTGAACCAATCAGTGGTTCCGTGTCCAGTTCTCACTGTTGCTTCTTGACTCGCATATAGGTTTCTCAAGAGACAAATAAGACCATCTGGTACTCCCATCTCTTTAAGAACTTGCCACAATTTGTTGTGATCCACACAATCAAAGGCTTTAGCACAGTCAATGAAGCAGAAGTAGATGTTTTTCTGGAACTCCCTAGCTTTCTTTATGTTTTTAGGATGTCTTTAAAAATGCTTAAAGTGAGTTTCTACTAGATTTGTCATCAGATTTCAACTGAATCCCTTTACCTATGTTTCTAAGTGTTAAATTTCCAGTGGAGAGGTAGATGTATCTTGTGAATATCCTTGTGTACAGTTGGAAGAGGCCTAGAAGGCCACTGAATCCAACTCTCTGCTCAATGCAGGTTTAAAATCTCCTATCCAAATTCTAACTAGGCCTGACCCTGCTCAGCTTCCAAGATTTGGCAGGATTAAGCACTTCAGGCTATGCTAGCTGATGCTTATCTGAACTGTAAAGAAAATATTATGGAGTAATGCTTTGTTCCCCTAGTGTGTCTTGACCAAAAGTACAGAATGCTGCTTTTCAGGATAGACTAGTGTGGAATAATCTAACAATAGATGCATGAAGGAAGAATGGTATTCAGGTGTTGCTCACACGTATATATCTGTGATATAGAACAAGTAGAACAGTGTATAGTACATGTGAAGTATTAGTTCCCCATTACTCAGCACTTCTTAGGCCTCATCTGGGGTACTGTGTCCACTTCTGGGCAACAAGTTTTAAGAAAGATGCAGAAAAACTAGTAAGTGTCCATAGAAGGGCAACAAAAATGATCCAAGTTTTGGAAACATTGTCCTATGAAGAGAGACTATGTTCAGCGTTGAGAAGGGAAGACATGATAATGCTTTATAAGTTCCTGAAAAGCTGTTACAAAGAGGCTCTCTTCTTGGTCATCCCAGAGTGCAGGACATGGAATAATGGGCTTCAGTTACAAGAAGCCAGATTCTGGCTAGATATCAGGAAAAATGACCTGAGAGAGCAGTACAAAAGTGGAACCAATGCCTTAGGGAGGTTGTGGACAACTGCACAGGTGCAACTGGATAGCCTTCTGAGGGGGGTGGTTTAACTTGGTGTCCTGCAGTGAGCAAGGGGTTGAATCCTCTTTCCCTCTGTCCCCTTCCAACTCTGCTATTCTATGAATATTATTACTAGGAGTAATTTTTTTCACATTTTGGGATGGTGCAAAAATAGCCCCTAAAACATTATTGCTATATTTTGGGATTCAGATAAATTTTAACATTCTTCAGGGGGTGAATAAGGGAGATGGATTACCATGTTAGATAATATGGCAGAGATTTCACAGTCTGTCTTTTTCTATAAAGCAGCTTTGCTGCTGCTTCAAGATTTGCAGTAAGCACCAGTCTGGCAGAATTCTTTATTGGTAGTAAAATGGTCCAATGGGAGTGATGCTCTATCCAACTATGCTATATATCAGGGGTGTCCAAGCTGAGGCTTGGGAGCTGCATTCAGCTGAGTTTATTTTGTGGTTCTCAGAGGGGTTGGAACCCCCTGCCCCCACATCCAGATCCTAGCAAGAGCATGGGCACTTTTGCGCCAAGCTCTCCTTAGGTCACTGGCCCACGCCACTCTCTCCCTGGGGCTTAGGCAACGTTGTGAGAGTTTGACTCAGCATGCTCCATGCCACTCCTGCTGACTTTAAAAAGTGAACTTCAAAAGACGTATCTTGACCCTCTTCCTGAATGTGAGGAGAGTGGGACTCAGTCAGAGCTCTAAAGAAAATTTGTGTTGTTTATGTGACAGCCCTGAAGATGGCTATCCTATTGCTGACGTTCCCCCTCCCTTGTTGCCTCTCTGACTCTCTGCATGAAAAATCCTCCCTCTATAGCGTCTAGGAAGCGATGTGACCTGGCTGTCACCACTGAGCGAGTCTCCCAACTAATATCTGGGAGACTGAAATCTTCCATAATTACTGTGTACCTCCCCTGTGATATCCTTAGAATCTGATCTGTCAGGACATCATCCAGGGTCTCAAGTTGACCTGGAGGGTGATAACAAACCCTCACTGCCAGGTCCCTCTCCCTGTCAAAACCCCTTAGTTTCATCCAGAGTGCCTCTACCAGATCACAATCTGCGCTGCATTCTCACTGCATCCTATCCCTTTCCTGACATATGAAATTACTCCCCCAGCCTGCTTTCCCTTCCTGTCCTTTCTGAACAGGTGATTCCCATCAAGCTTCCATGATCCCCACCAGGCCATACCCTCCTATTCAAGCTTTTCCTGCTTATTACCCATGCTTCTAGCATTGGTGTACATGCACCTCAACTCCTTCCCACAGCTTCCTTCTTTGAAAACCCCAAGGAACTCCTTCCTCCCATCTTCCCTGATACTGGCCCCCTCTTCAGTTCCTCTTCAGGGAACTGGGTCTCTTCAGCCTGGAGAAGAGGAGACTCAGAGGGGATATGTTGGTGACATACAGGTATGTGAGGGGATGTCACATGGAGATGGGTAGAGACCTGTTCTCCCCTGCAGAGGAAGGCAGGACACGCTTCAAAGGAGCAAATCTCAGGGAACCAAGGTTCCATTTGGGTGCCAGAAAGCACTTCCTGACAGTCAGGACCCTGGAATGGGCCACCATGAGAGGTCGTTGAGGCCCCATCAGTACAGGTGTTCAAGGATAGGCTGAACGTCCTCATGGTGGGCATGTCGTGAGTGGAGCCAGCTGGTGTCAGAGGTCAGACTAGATGGCCTGGGAGACCCCTTCTGACTCGCTCTGTTTCTATGTTTCTGTGTTTCATAGGAGTCCTGTCAGCCCCTGCAGTACCTCTAACACCCTGTACCTCAGTACCTTTTAGTCAACTTAATTCTGTGGATAGGAGGGTGTCAAGGTTGGCCCCACCCAAAGCTTTACACATTCATTTGAAATTTATGCACAGCTCTTCTATGGGATCACTAAGCTTGGGATTTTCAGGGTACAGTCATGTGGAAATAAACTATTTCTGTAGGCTCTGTGCAGAGGTTTGGATGAAGCGGTTGTTATTGCAACTGCCATGGAGCCAGCAGACTCAATTCTAATACACATACCAGGCAGCATGGTGTAGGATGCAATCCCAACTTCCCATGCATTTATTAAACTGAACAGGTTTGCTGTCATGAACTTAACTGCTCATAATTGAATTAGTATGGCCAGTTCCAGCACCCATTTAAGAAAGAAATAATGTTATTTCCTAGGTGTTATGCAAAGACTTTAAAATGGCACTAATAGACATGACACAAAATCTAAATGGGGAGGGAAGAGGAAAAAAGCAATGATGGAAAGTGCCAAGCAATACCCATTAACCTCATTCTCAAGCTACAATGACTGAGATTCATCCTACAAAATAGGAGCACATCGTGCTATGCAGACACACACCCTGTTCATAATAAGAATTTACAGGCTGTAAAATGAACAAGTGTACATTGCATGCTGTTTTACTGTGTGCACACATATGTGAGCTTTGGAGACAAGAAGCATAAAGAACTCCACTTGGAAATTATCTTAAGAAATTCTGGGGAGGAAACCTGAAGACAGACACCTACCCTTATTAGTCATATTAATATTTTTTAAATTGTCACAAAGTAACTGGTCTAATACATCCCCAAATTTCAACCACATGCCTTTTACTTTTACTTTTTTATGCAAACCAAAAGAGGCCCAAGATGCAAAAGTACCTAAGAACATCTACAAAAATATTTGTATGGGGTACTTTTATACCCCAAACAGTGGGACCCCAACAAAAAACAAAAGAAGGTTCAATACAGATCATCTTGACACTTGTTGAAGTGAAGATTTTTAGCTAAAACATCCAGCAAACAGCATTAAAATTCATTGAAGGAAAGCATTCTTACTATTTTTTAAAGTTAGTAGGCCAACTCTTCATATTGTTATGCAGAGAAAAAGTCAATGGCACAAGTATTGTTATGCAGATTTTCCTGTTTTTCAGGAAGGATTAAACCTTAAATTACCAGTACTTGCTGAGACCTAAAAGCCATTCTTAACCTCCTGGAGGAAAATTTCAGTCAGAACAAAAGCTTTTCATATTAAGCATTTTTCTTAGAACCATAAAATCATTCAGTAGTAGAGTTGGAGTGGGCCAGAGGATCCAATTGCCAGCTCAGTGTGGGACTCCAAATTAAACATCCCTCTCAGATGACCAGTTGTACCTTGAATGCTCCCTAAATAATTGGTTCCATAATCATACTGCCCTAAGCTTCAGGAGGTTCTTCTTGATCTTTAGCTAGAACCTGGCTTCTTGTAACTGAAGCCCATTATTCTATGTTCTGGACTCTGGGATAACTGAGAAGCGATCCCGCCTTTACTCATTGTGACAACTTATCAACTACTTGAAGAATGCTATCTCCTTCAATCGTCTCTTCTCAAAGCAAAACATGACCAGTGCTTTTAATTTCTTTGAATAAGAAATTATTTCCAGTCCCTGGATCATCCTTGTTGCCCTTCTCTGCACCCTTTCCAGCTTGTCTGCATTTTTCTTTGGTGCCCAGAAATGGAGGCAGTACTCCAGAGGAGGCCTAACCAATGCTGAGTGGAGGGGAACTAGTGCTTCTGTTCATGTAGTTTAAAATAGCAGTTCCCCTTTTTGCGATTACAGATTGTTGGCTCTTATTCAGCTTCTGATCTACAATAATACCAAAATTGTTCTTACATGCAGTACTGTTGAGCCAAGTATTCCCCATCTTGTAAAAATCTATTTAGTTTCTTTTTCCCAAGTGCAGGACTTGGCATTTGTCCCTACTGAATTTCGTTCTGTCGTTTTCAGCCCAATGCTATCAAGATCACCTTGAATCATCTTTCTGTCTTCCAAGGTATTAACTATCCCACCCAGTTTTGTGTCATCTTCAAATCTGATGAGCATTCTTTGTGCTTTTTCATCCAAATCATTAATATAAGTGTTGAAGAGCACTGGGCCTAGGACTGAACTTTATGGTACCCCACTTTTTACTTCTCCCCAGTTTGAGAAGGTGCCTGGATGAGCACACTTTGAGTCTGATTCTGTAGCCAACTGTGGAGCCATTCCATTTATCCCACTTTTACCTAGATTGCATGGACCACTTTGTCAAAAGCTTTGCTGAAATAAAGATATATTATGTCCACACCATTCTCACAGTCCACCAGGGAGGTTACCCAATCAATACATGAGATGAGATTAGTCTGTCAAGGTTTGTTCTTGAGAAATCCCTGTTGGCTTCTAGTAATGATGGCTTTGTTTCCAAGGTGCATGCAGACTGACTGCTTTATAATATGCTGCAGAAGATTCTCAGAGATAGATAGACTGAATTTATATACCACCCCAATAGCCCAGAGGGCTCTCTGGGTGGTTTATAAACATTAAAATCCCACCAATCCTAAAATAAATAAATTGGCTACACCACGACTGAGTATAAAATAACATGGTTAAAATGAATTAAATAAATAAATACCATTAAAATTAATTAACTTTAAAATATTGGTTAAATAAAAAGGTGTTGACCTGACACCGAAAAGCATATAATGATGGTGCCAGGCGGACCTCTCTAGGGAGTGCATTCCATAGTCGTAATGTCAGACAGTCTGGTCTGTAGTTCTCTCCTCCTCCTCTTTACTTTTATTGAAGATGGGGACAATATTAACCCTATTCCAACCACTTGGCATTTCCAATGTCATCCATGATTTCTCAGTGATAATAGACAGTGGTTCCGAGAGTTCTTCTGCCAGCCCCTTTATTACTCTTGGATGGAATTCATCAAATATCTTTTGTCTGTCTTTTAATTTGGACTTAACTGAAGAAGGCTTTGTTGTTGCTTTTAGCATCCCTCAGTTCTTTTCCAGCTTCAGCCTTCCTAACATCATCCCTGCAATTCCTTTGCAGCCTTGCCTTCCTTCCACTTCCTATGTCCTTTTTATTTTCCGATAATCTCTAAGTTTTTTGTGAAACATGGTCTCCCTCTGTTCTCTTTTACCCCTTTTTCTTGTTGGAATTGTTTGTAATTGTCCCTTTAGAATTCCCTTTTTAAAAAATCCCCACCCATTTTGGATGCCTTTTCTTATTAGAGTCACTGCCATGGGACTTAGAAAAAGAGGAACATAGAAACTGAGCAAGTCAGAAGGGGTCCCCCGGGCCATCTAGTCTGACCTCTGGCTCCAGGCAGCTCCACTCATGACATGCCCACCATGAGCATGTCTAGACTATCCTTGGACACCCTCACTGATGGGGCCTCGACTACCTCCTGTGGAAACTCATTCCATACCCTTGGGGTCCTAATTGTCAGGAAATACTTCCTGGCATCCAGATTGAACCTTGGTTCCCTGAGCTTTGCTCCATTGGAGCACATCCTGCCTTTCACTGCAGGGGAGAACATCTCTCTACCACCTTTGTGTGACACCCCCTCATGTATCTATATTCTGCCAACAGATCCCCTCAGAGTCTCCTGTCTCCAGGCTGAAAAGAGCCAGTTGCCTCAGAGGCTGAAAAGAGCCAGTTGCCTCAGTCTCTCCTCATACACCTTTCCCTGCAATCCAACCATCATCCTTGTGGCCCTATGCTGCACTGACTGTATCCTAGCTATATCCTTCTTGTAATGAGAGGCCCAAAACTGAACACAATAGTCCAGTTGTGGGAGCACCAGAGTCGTATAGAGTGGAAGCCACTCTTCTGGCTATGCAACCAAGGGTGGCATTCACCCTCTTGACCACAGCTTCACACCACTGACTCATGTTTAGCCTGCAATCAACCAGCACCCCGAGATCCTTTTCACAAGTGCTGCTCTCCAGCCACTTGTCCCCTAACCTGTACTTATGACACCCATTCCTATGCCTCAAGTGTAAGACCTTGCACTTATCCACATTGAACACAATCTTGTTCTCTCCTGCCCACTTCCATAGTCTGTCCAGATCCTTTTGGATCTAGGGTACATGTTCCTCAGTTGTGGCCACTGCCCCCATTTTAGTGTCATTTGAGAATTTGATCAGCAGACCCCTTCTTTCATGTCATTGATGAAAAGATTGGACATGATCGGTTCCAGGACAGAGCCCTGGGGGCCCCCACTTGTCACTGGCTGCCATCCTGATGATTCCCCACTAATGGTTACCCTCTGCTTTTGATTAGTCAACCATCCCCTAATCCATTGGACAGTGCATTGGCTTATCCCAAAACTCCTCAATTTCTCAACCAGGATATCATGGGGCACTTTGTCAAAGGCCTTGCTGAAATCCAGGTAAACTACATCCACCACGTCCCCTCCATCTAGCCACCTTGAAACCTCATCATAGAATTCCACAGTTTGTCTGGCAGGACCTGTTTTTGTGTAAGCCATGTTGCATGGCTGCCAACCTCCCTTCCTGTTGCTATTATGAGCCTTTCCATCGTCTTTCCTACAATGGATGTAAGACTTAACCTATCATTGTTCTGATTTTATTAAAACTGGATTTCCTAACACCCTTTTCTTCCTTGCTCCATTTATATGAATCCAGATGCTCTTGATCAGGCTACTAAGTTCATCCTGCTCTATTTCTGTGTACTTTAACATAAAGTGCAATTCTCATTCCTTTCTGTTCCTTCTGTTTTTCTTGAACAGGTTATATCCTTGAGTTGTTGAATGCCAGTCATAAAAGTCATCCCACTGACTTCCAGTTATACCTACCAGGCTGTATTCACCCTCCTGTTAAAGCCCTTCAGACAAATAACTTCGTGCTGTGACCAAATCCCTTCTTTCCAGTCCTGGCAAGGTGAAGCCCATCCCTTGTGGGCAGTCCATCTCCCAGGAAGCTTAACCTGGGGTTCAAGAATCCAAATCTCTCATGTCAGCACCACCTTCATAGCCAGGCATTCACTAATGTATATTTCCCTGTCTA